CTAGCATGGATCCTGCTGGTCTGGAGGGGTTAGCCTTTAGCCTAGCATGGATCCTGCTGGTCTGGAGGGGTTAGCCTTTAGCCTAGCATGGATCCAGCTCTCTTCCTCCTCCGTTGTTTACATTGGTACGGCTTCCTTCTCTCTCGGGTAACTGCCGGCGTCGTCTCCGATTGGATTCCATGTTGGTGCAGTTCGTCCACATCACAACCGAGCGCCACGATTCCAGCGCCGTTCATCGTCCTGACGCCCAGCAACGTTTTGCACAATGAACGTCTGGGATAGACACTCAAGACGTTCACGTTCGTTGTCTCCTGAAGGGGGCGCTGCGTGTATGCGCGCCGCCATCACCATGGCAACTTACTTTATTCAAAACATCTCATTTAAAAACGAACCAAAATGAAAGCACGTGTTTCACTGGATGCTGCAGAAGAAATAAAATTCCCATTATGACCAAGAATCAGAGGACAAATTTCTGTGACTTTTATTGGCTGAACTGCAGGCTGTGAACACAAAGCAGAGAAGTGCTGTGTGGAAATAAATTAGTAAAATATTCATAAAACGTGAAGCAAACTTTCCCCCAGTCTTGAAAACACCTGTGGCCACAAACCTGACGTGACGACTTGTGGGTTTTTGATTTTTGGTTTTTTTTTGTAACATAAATAATCAGAGAATTTTTTTTCTCCTTTTTTTTCCCCAAACGATTCTAACTTTGTCATATTGTGCTGAAGACATTTCTGAGTTTTCTCTATATCTATCCATTGTTGTGCAGCTACAGGAGCAGAAAACGCTGCCTGTGTTTGAGAACTAGCTGCTGGTAGTTTTAGACGCCCAACAGGACAGGATGCTCGTCTCCTTTCTGGGATCTGCTTCATCGTTTCTCTGCGACACACATGTTCACCACCCGACACTCACGCTGATTATTGCTGTGTGAATAATGTGCAGCTGTGTGATGCCACCGGTGCGTCTTTTATTATTTCCCGCCTCGGTTAAATTGTGGAGTGGATGTCTGAAAACTTCCTGCAGTTGAATGACTCTAATTCAGAAATAATTGTAATTACACCTTGTGGCCCCAACAGCAGCGGTGTTAATAATGTCTCGTCTGGACCGGGCGCCTCATCTAACAATGTTTAAGAAAAAAAAATAAAGTCCATTCCCGGGGTGTCGTCTGTGACACTGAGTTGTCTGTTGACGGTGTGGCGACTAAAGCTGTGCTCTCTGCTCCGTCCAACGCAGACACTTAACCGAGATCCGGTCGTTCCTTTCATTTGCAGATCCACAGCAGGTCCCTTCGCGCTTTTATCTCCTCCAGATTGTTGCGCTGCACTTTGTTACGCTATCAGCAAGGGGCGACATCAAAAGGATGCGGCTTAGACACAACACTGCTGCCAGATTTGACTGCTCATTTTAAGTCCTGAATGGCTGAGCCGGCGCCTGTATCTGTGATCTCCTCGCTCCCCGTGAGCCTGATCGCTGCTTGAGATCCTCTGGCAGCTCATATCAGCTGAGTAATAAAGTAGAGAGCGGGGTTAGCTGATTGGCATCAGCCTGTGCTCGACACAGCTTCATTGTTCTGCCTGAACAGTGGGGCTACTTAGCATGATGCTAACACCGTGCGCCAACGTTTCCACAACGTATTTTTAAAGTTTTGCATTATAAAATGTTTTAAAATGTATATTTTTTTAACTCTTTAACGATCACTTAAGATGGTTTTTGACCAGACAAGACTACACTCCAGTCTTATTTTGCCATATTGGGGAATAAATAAATGCTCTGGCTTCTTTGTGGTTCTTTAAACCAGGTGTTTGCATGCAGGGAGATGAGATGAGCACCGTGATCGTGAAAATAGTGAGACTGATCCAAATCTTTGGCTAAGCTTGACCTTTTCAGTGCTGTAGGTTAGTAGATCGACTTGTTATTGTTGGTTTCTGACCGTATTGAAGCTGATTTTTCTTAAAATGCAAGCATCCAAATAGCAAAACGGGACGATAAAGCCGGGCTGCAAGGTGGTGCAGTTGGTAGCACTGTTGCCTCACAGCAAGAAGGTCGCCGGTTCACTCCCCGGTGAGGGGCACCGGAATCTTTCTGAGTGGAGTCTCCATGTTCTCCCCGTGCAGCGTGGGTTCTCTCCGGGTTCTCCGGCTTCCTCCCACAGTCCAGAAACATGCTGAGGTTAATTGGTGATTCTAAATTGTCCGTAGGTGTGAATGTGAGTGTGCTTGGTTGTCTGTCTCTAAGTGTAGCCCTGTGATAGACTGGTTACCTGTCCAGGTGAACCTGCCTTCACCCTGAGTCAGCTGGATAGACTCCAGCCCCCCGCGACCCTAATGAGGATTAAGTGGTGTATAGATGATGGATGGATGGACAATCAAACCTGAAATGAGCTGCTGGTGCCAGACTCGTACCTGCAGCCTGCATCCAGTGAATCAGACGAAACACCAGCTGGAAAGAACTGGTGCAACTTTCATCATTAAAGAAAATCATAAAGACTCCTACAGATGGCCAAAGTTTTGTTTGTGTCTTCTTCAAGGTGTTTCTAGCCGATGGTTTAGTTTGTGGCTTCTTCTTCTTCTACTCTCCCCATGCTGCCACTTTGGGATGTAGGCGAGGTTGATCTCCAAAGCAGCGAATGAAAACAAATTTTCTTTTCTTTTTTTTTGTGGCATTTCAAAATGATCTTCAAATTTGGGGTAAAATCTTCTCCATCCTTAGTATTTGCTGCGTCACCATTTCTGACACATGAAGCCCGACATCCCAGTTTGTTCTTCCACCAAATCCCAGCGCTGGTTCGCTGCATGCGGACATAAAGTGTAGGAGACCGGCTTGTGTTAACACCAGAAACAGTCTTTCTGCGGTTTATGCGCTCCGTCTAACTCCACACATTCTTCAAAGACAACCTGGTAACAAGCAAGTCTGTCCCTGCAGATCCATTTCACGCAACGGCTGCTAGCTGAAGCTCCAAATACAAATGACCTTACCTTCATGGTTATGCACGGCGCAGAGCAGACGCCGTCGTACAGGACACGAGGTAATCAGAGCGTGTGGATTATGATGCTGTTCCAACATGTGACTGTTTGTCTCTGTCTGTCTCTCGTCCTTTCAGACAAACCGGAGGTGAAGATCGTGGTAGAATTTCCTCAGGGTTTGACCAGGGAAGGAGAGAACCTGGAGCTGACGTGTCAAGCCAAAGGCAAACCCCAGTACGACACACACACACACACTCACACACACATTTTAACCAATTAAAAACAGCCATGGGGAGTGGAGGCAGGCCTGCCTGACTACAGATGCTCCGTTACAGGTTCATCCGCATACCAACACTGCATTTATCCACTTGGCTGCGTCGCTGTGCGGGTCTTTATTGTTTTCCTTTCGCTGTCGAGAACGTTGAACTTTGGCAGCGTGGATCGATTCACGACAAACAGGAAATGTAAACAACTCACAGAACCACAAACGCTCAGATAGAAAAGATCACAATCTTTTACGCTTGTGTCACAAAGGCTGTGTGGAAAAGATGTGACCTTGTGTTTTTGGTCATGTAGTTAACAAAATAAAATAATCTGAATTATAGCATGCAACTGAATTTCTGTTTCTTTAACCTAAATATTCAGCCTTGCCTCCACTTTGACAACATTTGGGCGCTCACATCACTTGAAAAGCGACCACGCTGTCTGTTAATACCAAGACCCAGTGTGTTCATTACACAAAAATCAAAATCACAAACTTTCCCCAACTTCATCCAAAGTGCTTTCTCCGCCTGAGCTCGACCACAGATGGCAGCCTGGATGCGAACCCTGGTCTCTTGTGTGCGAGTTGCTTTGTACGCCCACCATCCACCCCAACCACCTCCTGCTGTCTGTGACACAGTTTGTAAATGTGGCACATTCATTAAAAAAAAAAGCAGCCTCTTCGTGTAATCTAGCCAGCAATTATGTTTGTAATCGAGTGTCAGAAGTTTGCCTGCACAGAGAAGCCGTTTCTTTAAGACGCTGTCGAGGAAAATGTAGTTTCATATTTGAGATTGTGTCGCTGTTCACGGCAGTAATTTGATCTCAAGGCTACCACAGCTTGCATAGTTTACGCTCTACCTCTCGCGTTAAAGTAAAGGAGAGGAAATCCCCCGACTTATTTCTTCTTTCTACTTAATATGAGATCCCAGAATAAAAGTGGATTCACGAAAGCAGATAGAATGTAGAGAAACTTCCTGTTAATCTTAATAGAAGCAGCAGCAGTTTAATTTCGGTACAAATGCGAGAGAACCACATAAGACAGCAGGGTGGTGGAGATTTTAAAGTTTTCCTACTTTGTCTCGAGCTGTGCCTCTGCCATTATTCATGATGCCAGTGCTAAATCATTCTCTGACTGTGGATGTAAGGAGTTTTAAATTCTCGTTTGATGGGGAACATTAAACTGCTTGTCGGCTTGCAGTGTGTTTCCATAACTTCTCATATTGAGAACAGGAAATATATCAACATCATGTCCGTGGCTGCCTGAAGTGAGACTTGATGCTGAGCTACCACTGTGTGCTCAGTTAGCTACCGGCTACATCTATACCTGATGTTCTGGCTCCAGTCTGGTTTTAGGTCCTACGTTTTAAATGATCACATTACTGCACATGCTCAACAAAATTAGCTTTGCTTGATCTATGAGTGCACATTTTGATGCTGCAGATTATTTGATTTTATTAGTAAAAATGTGCCACAGTTAGAGAATTAAGGCATTTCTAATAATCGGTGGAGTCCCTCAGGGCTCTCTTCTCGGTCCTCTCCTGTTTACAAATTATATTTATTTAATCATTTCATTAGAAAACGTACAATTTCTGAGCAGCTACCTCACAAATGGGAATTTTACAATCCTTATAGTTTGAAAAATATAGTTTTGGGCCTAGAAATGTAAAAATACCTCCTCCTTAACCCTTTCAACTTTTAGTTTTTGTCACATTTCTACTCACTGTTGGATCATTTTTCTTTGTAAAATAAACTCTGGCTTCTCTATTAAACTGCAGAAACATGACTAAAAGTAGAGAGAACTAAGGAATATATAAAAATTTGTGCACTATGACACACTTGTAATACCATAAATCATAAAAAAGGAAACACAAAAGTTGGATTAATTTCAATATATATATATATATATTTTTAAATGTAAACGTACAACATGTACACACACATGTTACCGACACACAAAAAGGTTAACAACTTATACAACAATTTGCTTCCATACGTGTCTCCTGTCTGTGTGGTATAAACACAACCTGCAGTTCAACCCAGTTCAGACAAAAAGTCCCAGAATTTTTTATATTTTTTGGTCGCAACTAAATCACTCATAGTTTATCAACTGCAGTTAAAAAATGCAGAATTTTGTGTCTCGTTGCAGAATCTGCTTAATGCAGATAAAATAAATAAGTTAGACATATAGACACATCATGAGTTCAGTGTTTTGTGGTTCGTTCACGACATGATAGAAGGTAGAAAATCCAACAGTTTCTGGTTAAATGGAGTCGTGTCGGCTAATCTTTGAACTCCACCGTGCTTTTCAAACCTTCCAGAAAAGTGAGCAAATGCAGATTTCGTTGCCGCCGAATTCACAACGCGAGGCGGAGAAACTCATGGCGCCGACTCACCGGGAGCAGAGATCTCCTCTAATTAGACGCTGGGAGTTGGTCTGACGGATAAGATGGCTGCTTTGGTGCGAGTAGAGTCTGAGCGAGGAAAGCTGTGACTGGAGCGTGTCAGGACCCGGGGCCAGAGAATTCTAAATGCCCATCGCTGGATACATAATCACTTAATTGAATAGCTGCTATTTTCTTTTTTTTTTTTCACGACTTCCAAAGGGGAAATTTGAAAACCGGCCTGTAATTATGAAATACATCAGAATAACTGTGTGATATTTTGAGCAGGTATTTAATTACTGCTACTTTAAAAGCGGAGGACGGAGCGAAGAGGGGGCATTAATAATAGTGAGAGGAGTGGGTCCTAATGTCTGGCAGGTAGAATTTAGCAGGATGGGCTTTTTTTTTCTTTTTCTAATGATGAGTGTTATATTCTGGAGGTATGTGGAGACGCTGTGTGAGGCTGAGAGAGTTCGCCGATGGACTCGAATGTGCGCTAATAAGTCAATTTTGTGATTAAAGTTAAATGATTATTTGTGATACACTGAGAACAGTCCTCCAGTCATGTTTTTTTTCTCCCCACAACAAAACTTACAGGGGCTTTTATCAGCACTAATCAATCCTCTGTAATGTCGGACCCTCTCCTCTAAAAGCTGGCTAATTAGACCATTATTTCACGTGCATCATCTGTAAACACAGGTGCTGGTTTGTTCTGACGACAGGCCTTCGTGATAGGAGGTGTAATGGAGTGCAAATGAAGCCATTAGGGCGAGCGGGATCGGGGAGAGGGACCGAGAGCCTGCAGCAGGAGACCCGCCGAACCGTCCCGACATCAATGCGGTCGGCGCCGTCGGTACCAGCCGCTTGTCGACGAGGCAGTTCAAATTTGAACAGAGCAAAACAATCATCAGATGAAGGTGGAATTATGGAAATCACATTACAAACAGCAATGTGGGTGTTTTCTTTTCTTTGCGCGAGTGCAGGCGAATTCAAAGGCGGCGGTAAACGACAGCCTTTAAGGAAAGAAAGGCCGTTTGAAATCTGTGTTTTTTGGCACGCAAACGCTGATCTGGAGGCTTGAAAGGCGGCTCTGAAAAGTTTGGAGTTAACTTTTTGGCAGAGCTACTTTGCTGTGTTTTAATCAAGAGTGTAATCCTTCAGTTTCACATGACGCTTTCTGTAATTTGTCTTCCTTGTCGTATGTATTTAACGTCAAGCGTATGTAAAAAGTCGTGGACAGCAGGAGCAGCTGACCTGAGCAGTAGATCATCTAATCAGTCAACATGGTGTTCTATTGGTTGGACGAGCACAAGTTTGCCGGCTGTAGTTTGCAGCATCAGTCTGAGCCCGAGGAGGGTTAGGGTTAGCGTGCTGGAACTGAAGCTCAGGACAAACGGCAGCATATCTGAGCGCAGACAAACAGTTTTGAGCAAACGTGCACCTGAGCAGGAAGCCGAGGTTCTGAGGGCAAATTAAATGACCGGTTAAAGATAAGAAACTAGCGTCACACACGGCTAATGAGCTTCGATTTATGACGGAGCCGCCTTGTTTTGTTCAGAAAATAAAAGCATCAGGACTGAAACTTTTCAAATTACAGCAAAAACCTCTCCAAACTGTTTGAGTGTAAAGTTATGAAACACGTGAATCCTACCAGTGATAGATGGAGCCTCCTGTGTAGCGAGCCACAGCTGAATGGACGGACCGGGCTGCAGCAGCGGTTCAGGAGGTTCTGTGGACATTGTCACTTCTGTTCAGAGCTGAAGAGTGTTTGGAAAACGCACTGCGTAGGTTATTCAGGTAAAGGGATGAGTGGCATCGAGGGTTAATCATCAGTGGTTTGGACTGAAATCACAATTCTGTTTGTTTTTTAGTGCAAGTAAACACAACACACGTCCCTGTAAGTGGAAAAGATTAATGAATTATTTAGTGTTTTTCAGATCGTCTGTGTCGTCACCACGCCGGCCTCATCGCTTTTGCTGAGACCATTAATTCTCTAAACTCTCATTTTTGGCTTCGGTCACATTTTTATTCACTGTGGGCTCATTTTTCACTGCAACATAAAGTCCTGCTCCTCAGTGGGACAGAACAACCACGGCTAGGGGTACAGACAGCTCAGGTAGACCGAATTTATACTTCATAAATCATTAGAAATTATAAAAACTTAATTTATTTGACAATCAACATGTTGATAAAATGAGTCACTCATGGCTTCACGATTATTCTAAGGAACGCAGAATCTGGTCGATATAAACAGTTTATTTTTGAAATATTTTAAAATAAATGTAGAATAAAGTGACCTATAATGATTTGATTTTAAGCTACGGTTTGGTTATAAAGAAACACGTCATAGCTGAGTTGTTGAAGGACCGCTGGAGAGTTGAAAATGCAACGATTCATTTTCTTTTTACCGACTCTGTTTCTTAGAAATAGTGTCGTTTTTCTTTTAACACAACATGCGTTTAGGTTGCGGAGGGCTACTGCTGCTTTGACTGCAGAGCGTCTTCAGGAGGCGAGCTGTTTGTCAACCGCTAAAAACGCTCAAAGATGAGAAAGAAGCAAATCAAACTTTGGCTTTCCACAAGAGAACAACGGAGAGAAATTAGCCAAAGTTCTCATCGGAAAGTCTTCCACGTTAGCTGCTATCGACCGTGTTGTTCGGAGACAAACTGTCGTCTGACTTGACTGTTTGCTCCGTTAGAACTTATTTAACATCTTTTAACCTCCTTATGCACGTTTTGCAGTTTCCGTTAACGTTCACTAAACTTAAAAAACGCACGTGAAAGTCGCAGCGACGCGTCAGTCCTGACTTTTGTCTTCTACTCCAAACCCAATCCAAAAATCTAATCTCGACCGCGAATCGAGGTTTCCAGCCAATCCCACACTGTCCAAGAAGTGTTTTCAGTCTGTCGGTGGAAAACTCTGTGTGAGTCTCTGAAGGGTAGAAGTACGACAACACACACACACACACACACACACACAGATCAAAACACACAGTGTACTTCTGAAACACACCTCCCCCCCTCACCCGTTTTCATACTTGGCATAGAGACAAGCTCACTACCCGTATTCATTTTATAAAGATGAAAACACAATCAATACAGTGAGCTGGGAATTGGAAGTCATTTTCATTAGAGCTGCTGAGAGTTGTGCAGTCATTACCAGCAGATAGCACAGGGGGCCCCGGCTGCAGGCAGCCATTTGTATTCCAGACGCCTGCCCTTCCTCTCTCCTTGCAACCCCATCTTACCTCTTTCGTCTATCTCTGTCTATCTTCCTTCTCTGGATTCCCTTCTCACAACATCCAATCCACCTATAGAAACATTTTTTTTTTTCCCCTCCCCACCCTTCTGAGGTTATACTGCACCTAAGGAAGGAAATAAAACTTATATTTATACATCTATTATTTATTTACATTTCACTTCATCTTGTAATAGACGGCGCTCTCACTTTCAAGCCATCCGCCGCAGCCATTAAACGCGGTTTGTTTGTTTTGCTATCGAGCCTCGGTTTCATATTTTGTGTTTTTTTTCTTTCCTGGATTTTTTTTTTTTTCCGCCTCATCTTTCTCTCTCTCTCTCTCCCATTTGCTCGCTCCCTCCACACCAAATGTTTTCAAATGGAGGGAAACAAGTTAAAACACCACAACAAAATGCAACAAGAGAGACCATCAGCACACACTCAGGGGAAATAACAGTAGCTGGCAGTGGCCGCTGGAAAGTTGCAGCAGCAAAATAGAGGTGTTTTGTCTTTTTCTTTTTCTCGTCGCCCTCTGTGACTCGGGGCACTTTGAGCTCATTGTCATAAAAATGGAATGTGTCACCCCGCTCAGTCAAGGTAGAAGAGAGAACAAAGACAGACGCTTGGTAGGCACCCACCTACACAGCAACTCTCATAAGTATACAAGCGTGGAAAGCCTGCAATTTGAAGACAAAGCCGCCGCACCGTTATTGTTGCTTTTAACTGTACACAAAGGGAGAAATGTCATTTGGATACGTCTTGATTTGTTATGTCGCGGCCGTCCGTAATCAGGATTTTTCCGGTAAAGCGGCTCGACGGCGCGTAAAAACGGCATTTCGATTAATAACGTTTAGAGAATCTGTAATCGGTTAAAAAATGTGTCGGTTAATGAAAGCGTCCGTCTCCCGTTGGCGTCTGAGAAAACTCAACGAGAACACAAACGAAAAGAACAAGAACGACTGGACTTTGGTTAACAAAACAGGCTTCTTTTTTTTTCCACACTTCAGCCAAAAATCCTGCATCTCCGAGTGCTGCAACAAACAAGTTCATGAAACTAAATGTATGAACATCAACAGCAAAGAGCTGCAGCTGGAACGCCGTCATTGTGATGCTGATTAGAAGAGCTGGAAATAAAACAACCTGGCATCGGTGGCAGTATCACAACGAAGGGCAGCGATTAGCTCAACGCTGTGTCCCAAATATCACATTTCTACGCATCCGGACCAGTCTTGTCTCCTGAACTGAACTCCTACAACTAAAACTACGCTTTTCTCCATTTGACTGCAACAAAGTAGGAAACTCCAGGTGCTAGG